TTTACATCAAAACTCTTTGCTTCAAAGCTAATGGCAAGGATTTGTGGGGAAAAGACTGACCCAATTCAGTCTCAATTCGGAAAGAGTGCTCCACTCACTAGCGTACATGTGGCCTTCACCCCTATACACTATATAAGATCTTAGTAGATAATTGAATTTTAGCTGTCCAAATTTAGCGTCGGCCATCAACACCGACGCTAAATGGTCTCCTCTACATCTTAACCATTGATATGCATTCAACAGTGGCCTCCACTCTACGGTGGACAAACTCGAAATAGTTCTAATTGTCTTCTCTATATAAGCATAACCTTTAGTCACGTCTAAGTACTATTTTTATACACTTGTAAAATTTCACCTTATTTAAACACTAAAATTTCTAGGCAGTGGTCATCTTCAACCTTCATTCCAATTCGGAATAAATATTAATATTTTTTTTATTCTTATAATATGGTGAAGAAATTTCTAATCCGAAAAATAAACAGGATTGTATCATTTGGGGCGGGATGATCCTTTCTATTAAAATTAAATTTAAAAACTATTTTTACAAAAAAAAATTTACTTATAGGCCACAGTTTTTTTTTTAAATTCATTAAAAAATAAAAATAAAAATTAATTAATATAATCACTTTAATTTTATAAATTTAACCTCAAATATCATATAATTTCTTAATTTACGAACTTATTAACTTTTTATTTTCAGTTATTAATTTATTATAGATTTTTAAATCATTGAATATGAACTTATAAATGATAATTTTTATATTTTTAGTAGATTCATTTGTGATATACTAGTATTTTGGTGCCATTAAAATATTTATATTTATTTTATTTAGCGAATATTTTAATTAATATTTTTTCAGAAAGATATTAACGGATATGCCATGCTCTTAAATATAAACAAAAGGGCACAACTTCATTACCCAACCATAAAAGTTGAGTATGGTTGGGTAACTTTACTCATCTAATTGTCATAATTGCACTGGTTCAAAATATGTCACCTGTCATATCATTAAAAGGGCAATAGTTTATATTTGTGACACTAAATTTTTTAATAATTATAAATTACTCCTTGATGTATTAAATTGGGTAATAAGAAGTGCATATTTCCAATGCTGGCTATGACCATTCATATATATTTTTTGAACAACTAATATAATAAATAAATTTAAATAAAAATAAAAAAATTAATGAAATATATACGAGTGATAATATATTAGTTTTAAGAGTAACTCTAAAATAATTTATTTTATTTAATAACTCATTATTTTTGATAATTTTTATTAATTTTATTGTTAATTATTGTCATAATATATTAATTAATCAACTCAAGTGTAAGGTCATCAACACAATAATCGTCTTATGATTAAAAAAATGGTTATTACTAACATGTATTTTAAGGACACATATTAAGGATACTATAATTTAAAAAAAAAAATTAAGTGTAATAAAATATAAAATATTTATAAAAAAATCTATTTTACTATTTTGAAAATTAAAACTAATAAAATTTCATTTTAAGTTAATAGCAAAAATTAAATTTTAACTTTTTTAATCAAATGAAAGATTGTATTAATTCAAAAACGCCATATACACAAGGCGATTGCAAAGATCCATCCCTAAAACTAGACAAATAAACCATATAACATCAATGTTGCTATATGGTTCTTAAGTTTACTATTGAACCAACCTCTATAAACTATCAAGTAAATAATATGGTTCCCAATATCCACATTCTCTCTAACTAACCCAAAACTAATTCTATTTCTAAGCTTCCAAACTTCATAGATTGTCTCTATTGTTGTCTCTATTGCCGCCAGCTTAGGGATAGCTTTTCTCCGACCTTTGTCTTTCACACTTTGCTGCAGCCAACGAATCTCCCTATCCCAGTTCAGGGGCTCATGTGGAACCCCTATCCAAGTCATCACTTTTTCCAAATACTTTTGACAATTGCACAATAAAAAAACAGATGATTGGGAGTTTTTGCAGCACCACATGAACTGCATTTAGTATCAGTCAAAATTTCAATCTTACTCAATCTATCCCGCGTTGCGAGCCTCTTATGACAAGCTAATTGTTCTGGACTGGCCCAATAACTAGAATTGGCTCAATCCACTTTTGCCTCCAACGTGACTCAATAACTCTGGCTCATCAGCTCTGGTCCTCCGTCGGGTATGCCTGATCGATTGATCCCCAAGCGCAGCGACACCAACTCACCCCGAGCCTTACGCTTTCCCGTTACGGCAGCTCCCTCCCCGACAGAAGCTGGTGTTGCATTACCCTCTGTGATTCACCTTCTCGAGCTTGTTCTGAAATATTGGGTGAGGTTGTTCTTCGGTATCTGGCTGCACGGGCATCCCTGGTGAATCGACCACATGACCTTCGGTCGCCTTAAGGAAGTTGGGGATAACCATTCGGCCATCCATCACGCGGTGGAGAAAGTAGGTCCCCTTTAAATCGAAGTCGACTCCCGGGTTCACTAGGAGAATTTGGGCCGCTACATTCTCGAAGCCCTCCTCGGCAGCCACAAGACCATCTTCGTTGGCCTGTTAGATACGAGCAACCAGTTCGGCCCTGATCGTCATCTCCTTTACATCCTCTGGATACTCCTCGTTAGGGACCATGGCGCCCTGGAGCCCCTTTACCTCTTCCTCAAGAGTTTTCTTCACGGCCAGCCAAACGTCCTTCTCCTCGGCCAAGACCTTCTTCGCCTTCGACACCTCGTCAAGATCAGCCCTCGACTTCTTCAACTTCCCTTCAAGAGCCTTGACCACCTTATGTGCTTTCCTCAAATCAAACTCCTCGACGCAGCTCCCCCAAATTCATCCTGGAGCTTCCTCGACTCCTCGACACACGGGATGACTCTAAAGTCATCGCTCTTACGTCTAGGAGAAACAAACTGAGGGATCTTGTTCTGGACTGACCCAATGACTAAAATTGACATAATCCGCCTTCCACCTTTTGCATGGCCCAACAACGCTGACCCATTAACTCTGGACCTCCTGTCGGGCATCCCTGGTCGACCATGCCCCTTGAGCAGCAAGGCCAGTGATGCCTAAGACACACTCCTGCCACGCAGGCAGCAACCTCCTAGTCTACTCAACAAACGTAGAACAGACAACCAGGAAACACTTATAAATGCTTTTGTACGTAATCTCTTTCGTACTCGGTGCAATGACTAGTTATGGGCACGACTACCCGTTTTGACCAAGTCCTGGTGGTTACTTATTTTTGAGAAACCTAATATCTAGGCCCAAAAATAGGAACCAATGGCCAAGCGTCGGAGACATTATATAAACCTTCACACTTGTAAGGGCCAGATATCCAATATTCATTCTAAAACTCTAATATCTTTCTTGTATCTCTTTACACCTATCTTTACTTGATCGTCGGAGTGTCTTGCAGATACACCTCCCTCCTCTCCACAAATTTCCAGTCAAACAGACATCATCTCTTCAACCCACCTCAGATTCTGATCAACCGGCAAAATCAGACTTCATGTCTAACTATAGTTGCAAACACTTCAAGATAGTCTAAACCAGATTTATGAAGAATCCTCTAACTCATTAATATTGACTAGTTCAGAGTCCAATAAATAATCTAGTTTACACTCCATACGAGTGTCACACATTATATATTTTTGACAATTATAAGTATTAGTGTCAAATGTCAAAATATATATTTTTAAATATAACTTTTCGAATTTTTTTTGCAATTCATACTTCATAGTTTTTAAAGAAAGTTGCTCAAAAATTCTTTTTAATAATTTATACACATATTAACTATTTTATTTCTTAATGGTAAATTTATATGATTATATAAATTGTCAAATTATTTAATATTTCTACAATCTTTTACCATGTGATCTATTTAAAAAAAAATATTTTTTTTAAATTCAAAGAGATTTAAATTTTGGAATGTTTCTTTTAAGAATGAGGTAGGAAAAAAATACATTATGAAATTTTAAAATATAAATATTTTAAATAAAAAATTGAACCCTTAAAACTCAAGATATTAATAAATACAATAAATATTAAAAAAAGTTAAACAACTTATTATTAGTATTTTATATGCTCTTCACGAAAGATTGTGATATTTAGAAGGACTATATGTTCCAAAATCAACAAAGAATAATCAAATCCCAATTAAAAAATTGAAAACACTATACTATAGGATATAAATTTGGTAGTCCATTGATTTTGTACCATTAAATCAAAACGTTACTTCTAAAATTTTAATATTTATTGAGTGATAAATCTTAACTTAACAATTGAGCATAGATGAGAAATGAGCAATGGCAGTGAGTAGTCAACGGTAGAAAAAAGTGTTCTGGTGAGAGAGAAGTAGTTTCTTTGGAAATATAAAATTTTCTAGCAACTAAAATCATTATTAAAAGTAGGGATTGAATTGCAATTACATGGAAATAAATTATTAATTTTAAAGAATAAAATTTCCAACCATGAAACAAATAAATCCTAAGATATGATTTTTAAATACCAACCAACCAATTCCAGCTCAATGATTCAATATCTGATACCTTCTGAATTCATTTTAGCTCTACAAGAGTCTTAGTCATCTCTGAAAGTGAAACCATATCAAGCACAAATTAAACTCCGTCTGTTCTTTTGTTTTGTTGAGTATTATTTAAATAGAAAAAATAGGCGGTATACAGACAGTGTAAATTAATTTTATCCTGTCAATCAATCATAATTTTATATCAGAATAAATTATATTTTAATTTTAAAATTTAAGATACATTGTTGAATTTCTATTAAATAACAGTATAAAATAATTTTATACAATACATATAAATTAAACTTTAAATATCAGTATGAGTCAATGTTAAAAGCCGATTCTATATTTATAATTATATTTAATTTATTAATTTTTTTAAATTATTATCCGTGATGGTGTCATTTTCTATAAAATATAGGTTATGGTCTCATTAGGATTTCCCCATACTCCCTATGAGATTATAATTGCATAATAGCTGTCAATAATTCATGAACCAAAACATGTCACCCTTTGTTATTTTCCCTTTTGCTCTCTTCCTATTCTTCTTCTTGTTCAAAAAACACAAAACATCCAAGAATCCAACCCTTCCACCAGGTCCTAAAGGTCTTCCTTTCATTGGAAACTTACACCAACTTAATAGTTCATCCCTTGGTGTAAACTTCTATGAACTCTCAAAAAAATATGGCTCTTTAATCTTTCTTAAACTTGGCTCAAGACCAACACTTGTTGTCTCATCAGCCAAAATGGCCAAACAAGTATTGAAAACACACGACATCGAATTCTGTAACCGACCCTCTTTAATCAGTCATATGAAACTCTCTTACAATGGATTGGATCAAGTGTTTGCACCATATAGAGAATATTGGAGACACACCAAAAAACTTTCCTTCATCCAATTTCTTAGTGTCAAAAGAGTAACAATGTATTCTTCGGTTAGAAAATATGAGGTGACTCAAATGATGAAGAAGATATCAGAACAATATGTCCCCTCTAACAAACTTGTGAACCTGCATAATCTTCTTTCGTGTCATACAAGTGCGATCGTTTGTAGGACAGCGTTCGGGCGAAGGTTCGAAGAGGATGGAACTGAGCGTAGCATGTTTCATGATTTGCTAAAAGAAGCACAGGAGTTGACGGTTGCGTTCTTTTACGCGGATTATTTGCCTTGTTTTGGAGGGATTATTGATAATTTTACCGGAATGATGGGCCGGCTTGAGAAAACGTTTAACTTGTTGGATGGATTTTTTCAGAGTATTGTTGATGAACATCTTGATCCTGAAAGGAAGAAGTTGCATCCACATGAAGAGGATGTTATTGATGCTTTGATTCATTTGAAGAATGATCCTTACTGCTCAATGGATCTCAAATCTGAACACATCAAACCTTTGATCATGGTTTATAGTTTTATTTTTCTTCACTTTAAGAATAGATATTTAAACCAATTTTTCATTCGATTTTTTTTCCTTCAATATGTAATACTAGGAAACAACCGTTTATATTGTTTTTTTAATATTGCAGAATATGTTGTTGGCGGGGACAGACACGATTGCGTCTGTGGTAGTTTGGGCTATGACTGCACTAATAAAGGATCCAAGAGTGATGCGGAAAGTACAAGAAGAGATTCGAAACGTATTTGGAGCGAAGGGTTTTATAGAGGAAGAAGATGTTCAAAAGCTTCCATATCTCAAAGTAGTTATAAAAGAAACAATGAGATTATATCCATCATTACCGATACTTCTACCAAGAGAAACCATGAAAGAGTGCGAAATCGAAGGGTACAAAATTCCTGACAAGACGCTGGTGTTCGTGAATGCTTGGGCGATTCATAGAGATCCAGAAGCATGGAAGAATCCAGAAGAGTTTTATCCAGAGAGATTCGTAGGAAGTGATATAGATTTTAAAGGCCAAGATTTCGAGCTGATTCCGTTTGGTTCGGGGCGAAGAGTTTGTCCCGGCTTAAACATGGGGGTTGTTACTGTGGAGCTTTTACTTGCTAATCTTTTATATTTGTTTGATTGGGAAATGCCTGAAGGTGTAAAGAGGGACGATATAGATTTTGATAATCTTCCGGGACTTGTTCAACACAAGAAAAATCCTTTGTGCCTTGTTGTTAAGACTAGAATTACATGTGTGTGATGTAATGTTGCATGTTATTGTTATATTTATGTTGAGAAAATAAAGCATGCATGATGTGACCAGCGACTAGCTTAAGCCATTACTATATATGCCATTTCTCTTGTGTATTATATACTGAGAAATAAAAATCATCTTCCTATATTGATGTCCTTATGGTTCAAGAAAATTGTGTTGAACATTAATTTTGTATTCTATGCATGGTGTTTTGATTCTGAATGTTATTTTACCAAGTAGTTCCTTACAAAAATCTTTAAAATTGTGTCTTTTACAAGAACTTTTCATAAATATTTGGTGGATTAATCATTCATTCTCATTCAAATCCAAACAACTCATCCATTTTGTCAGCAAGTAGCTTGACTAGGAAGAGTGATTAGAAAGAGTGATGAAGAACATTAATTCTTTTATATAAATGGTTTTTAGACTTGGTCAATGATTTGTTCTATGAATGATATGTTTCTGAAAGTTACTTCATAATCCATTTTGTTTCTCTTGGTTTCATTTGTTGTTTCTTTCCTGCTTTGAGGCTACATTTTATTCTTAGAAGCAAATCTCTTCCTATAGATTTTTCCTTCTTCCAATAATGCTGTAGTAAAATCAGCCTCTCAGTATTGATGATTTGAAATAGAAAATATAAATTCCCAAGAGATTTGAAATGAGAACAAACATTAGTTGATCAAAACAAACATAATGGAGCAATTTACATTGGGACTACTCAACATAATTGTGATGATATATTCAATCTTTCCAACTTTTATTCTTGTGCATCCTACTTTCACATTGCCTAGTAACATATGATACAATATTCTTTGAACTGCCAAAATGGATCCACTGCTGGAGTCTGCACAAGTTGTATGTGAATTTGCCAATGTTGGATTTAAATAGCTGTATGCCTATGATTCTGCAGAAACATATATTACTCAGAAGTTTCGAAATTCATACCAAATACTGCATAGAAGTTAAAAATTACTAGTTTGGTTATGAAAACACCAAAATCAATTAAAAAAATGTCCAATAATTTAGTCTGCAAAGAAAACAGTTCGGTTCACAAACAAAATAGCCTGGTTCGTAAAGGTAATAGCCCGATTCTATAAAGATGGAACCAGTTTGGTTAAGAAATACATAACCCAATGCACCCAACAATAAAGCCCGTAAGGTTTGGTTTTACATCCAGAACCAAACCATGACAGTCATACAAGTTATCCAACTATATAATGTTGATTTCATGGACTAAAGATGCTACTGGAGTCAAAACCAAACCAAAATTGAAATTTTTTATTTAGAGCCGTATTCAACGAAGCACGGATACTCTAAAACCAATGATGTATCGTATCCGATATGTTTGATACACAGATACATATGGAAGGAGTATCTGAAATTTTTATTTAAAAAAAAATTCCGATACGTCCCGATACGGCAGCAACACATCGGGATACGTTGTGGATACAGCTAGTTAATCTCATGTCTATGCATATTTCTAAAACATGAATCAATTTTCCTCATCCTCAAGTCTTCTTTTCTCAAATTTAATTACCTCATCACTTCCATTTTTCTATTAGAAAGAATCAAATTTTTCCTTTAATTACTTTTCTTTCAACTTTAACTATCTTTTCTTTTTCTCATAACTCATTTACCAATTACTATCAAATTTTGCAAACTCATTGGGTTTTTGTTAGAGAATGATTTAACTAATGTTTAATTTTAATTTTTATATATGTATCTTAAGCGTATCGTATCCTAGATTTGTCAATGACCGGCATATCTACGTATCGTATTTGATTCCTGTATCATGTCCATGCTTCATTGGCCGTATTTTTCCTTTTGCAATTGGAAATTGGAAGATCTTTCATTTCATCTCATCGATTCGATCAAATTCCATACTATGACAGAAATTAATCAAATTCTAAAGAGTTGGAAGTTTTTCATTATTCACTTCTTTCTTTTTCTCCTTTTTCATAGATTGGTTTTTGAGAATATTGCATAGTTTGAAATTCTTAGGAGACCATTATTGAGTATATAAAAGTGCTCAATGTGGTATTTAAGTTTTGAAATTCTCCCACCTAAAGAACTAGTCTTTTGTGTTGGACTCTCCTCATGTGTTTAAGTCCTAACAACAGGTGTTTTCATTGAGAGTTCGGCCAGAGAATGGGTCAAAGGGCTACCTGCAAGCTGGAGTGAAACCCCCAAAAATAAAGGGCTGCCATCGGGTTAGTGCCGGTAGAGTGAAAGCCTCTGTAGACGCCCACATTGAGTAGATAAAAGTGTTCAATGCAGTGTGTAAGCTATGAGGTTCTCCCACCTAATTTACTAGTCTTTTAAGGACCTGTTTGGATTGACTTATTGGAGCTTATCTTATGGCATATGACCTTATTGGAGCTTATCTTGTGGCATATGACCTGTTTGGATTGACTTATTGGAGCTTATCTTGTGGCATAAGTTTTGTGAGATTGTTTGGTAGTATTAAAAAAAACAGCTTATGATATATTTCTTAAACTTTTTTTAATTCCTTTTTATAAGTTGTGCAAAATAACTTACGAAAATAACTTAGAACATATATAAAAACAATTTAAATTTATTTTATCTTTTGTTGTAAAAATAGCTTATGCAAGCTTATTCAGAAGCGCTTATTTGATAAGCACTTTTATCCAAACAGGCCCTAAGTTGAACTCTCCTCATGTGCTTAAGTCCTAGGAGAAAGTGACACAATAATTTTTATTGTAATTCTGCTTTTTACCATCTATAACAGGTTAAAAGATAAATATATAAATTTGAAGGACTAGGAAGCACCCTTATTAGGTGGAATGTTTCAACTTCCAGATGCAGCAAAGCAACCCCAATGTATATTTTTCCCAATGAAAAGAATTTTCTTTCAGAATACCAATTGAATTTGTGTCACTACAATCAATAAAGAAAGAAATTTGTATATTCAATTTACCCTGTTATATCATTTGCCAGTCCTTAAGTATATGCAGCCGCCTGAAGTTCACTGTATGTATCCCTTTCGCTCCTAATAACTCGTGCTTTATCATCTATAATTTCTAGAACCTGGAGAATAATAAAAACTCAATTGTAAATAACAATAACTACTTGTTGTAAAATGCACACGTGAAGACTCGTGTAGGCTTTTGATTTACCTCTGGTCTCGAATTAAGGACTCCACTGGACATTCCAACATCTACGCGCCATATGCTACAATTGTATTTACTGTACGAAACAAAAGAGCTGATTTATATGTTGAAATTAAAGTAGTATAGCAATATACAAATTATAATCTAAAGATTACGACAACTTTAGAGGTTATTAATTTATAACAAGCATGCTTAAAGAATTGTCTTCCCTTACCAATTTACACCAATAGTTTGAGGAGTATGTCCCACAACCATAGCCTTAGCACCAACTGCTTGCAGTGTTTCCTCGAGAATGGAACATACCTGAATATTGAATTATTGGGTTTCAAGATGTCAATCTAAGTCACACTAAAAAAGACTAATGAAAAGCTACAGAGAGATGGATTTACAAAGCTAGTCTTCAAGGAAAGGAATACATGTCAGTGTCAATATCGTGTCTGGTATCGGTGTCTATGTTTCATAGGTATTAATTACAGTATACCAATAAATTTACCCAAGTATGTTTACCTGATTAGCTTCATAGTCCATCAAATCTGGTGAGTCTCTTGAATACAACCGATTCCAAACAACACTGTTATAACCTCTGGTGGCAATGAAAGGGAATTGGAAAGTACTGTCATTCTTACTTGGATCTCGCATCCACTCCGACACTTCTTTGTTCATCCGCTCTAAGCCATATGCAACTTCAGAAAACGAAGAGAATCATTAGGCTTCCGAAATCGGAGAAATGTTCAATAAATTTGAAACAATGCATAGTATTATAGTTCATACTGGTCAATACTAAAATCACAATCAAGTTAAACAAAACCAAAAAAGACAGTAGAATATTGACCATGGTGAGGAAGAAGGCCGCCGTGACAGAAGACCCAGTCATTAACCTTAAGCACAACAGCATGTCTTGCAAGCTCACATGCCAGTGGCCCACCAGGCCTAAAGAGGATTGATCTAGCAATGACTCCCTTTTGCCTCTGTCCTAGTAATTGGAAAACTTCGTCAAAAAATGAAATAAAATATCACATTTTGAATAACATAGAACTACATTTCGAGACAACGGAACTTATATTCTACTTAAAAGGCCTCGGAACTTATATTCTAGCATGTTAATTTGGGAGTTAGGATGCAACTTTAATACCTTCACTAAATTCCAAGGTCCCCAATGATTTGTAGTCATTGTTCGATCTCCTTTCAGCTTTTCAGATGCATCGACCCAACCAGTAAATGTTTCCTCCCAGTCATCTTCAGAACTATTGATATATTCCATGAAATCACTACATTCATCAAATCCACCAGATTCAACGTATCTGAAATCCCCTTCCACATTCATTGTCTCGTGGTTTCCATTTACCTAATATTACAATGACAAATAAGATATAACACAATTTCTACTTAACCCCGTGATTTAGGCTATGTTTGGACATGTTAAAAGATGTTTTCACAAACTTTTTCGAACAATATCCCAAGTGCTTATGCGAGCAGATAAAAACAGAAGCTTCATAATAATGATAACGGAACAAGGGAAGTCACAAATTACAAACCTGAAACACAGCTCCGCCATTTTCTTTTGCCTGTCTATCTAATGACCGCAGCAACGACAGGATAGCGATTTCATCTTCACCTCGATCTAATATATCTCCAAGTTGAATCAACACCTAGCAATGGGGAAAAAAATTAAAAAGCATCATGCATTAAAACTAACAGAAATCCAATTTGAAAGACAGTAAGCATACATTTTCTCCACCGGTCCACAAGTCTTGACCGTCAGAGCTCAACACACCAGCCATTTCAAGTGCAGATCTAGCTTGCTTAAGATCTCCATGAAGATCACCAACTGCTCAGAGAAAAAAAAATCAGCTTCAATAAAACATGTGATAAAAATCAAAACAAACTCAGATACTAATCCAAGATATACCAAATTTAAGTAAGAAAGATTACTATGGCAAATCCAAAATACCAATTCATATTTAAAACAAAAAATAAATATTAAAAAAAAAAAAAAAACACAAAAACAAGTTGAGCATTGGAAAACACATGAAACAACAACATCAACAAAATTGTCGGAAGAAGAAAAACAAACCAGCGAGAATAGTGCGACCAGGAGCGGAAACAAAAGTCGGAGGGTTTCCACTAACAACAATAGGTTTCAAGGTAGTCGGAGTTGTTCTAAGGCTATGATTGTTGTTAGTGTTATCAAGCGGCAAAAGAGACGAAGAAGGAGAAGAAAGAGAGGATGGTGAGAGTGGTAGTGATGAATTCATACATAGGGATGCCATTGATTTCTGCTATTGAGTTCCCATTACTCTGAATAAATTTCAGATTAAAATTAAAGAAAACGGTTTTTGTTATCACACAAAATCTCCTCAACCAAGTGTTTTTTTTTTTTGGTATAGCATTATCGATTGGCTCTGGCCACGGTTGCTGAATTTTATATTATTTTATTTTTTCATCCGATTATGAGACTAATTATTTTCTTTTCTAATAGTTGATTTAATAGGACTTATGAGATTGATTTTTTTTTTTTTTAATATGAATCTAACTGAATGATATTAAGATGTCATTGTTATAACAAATTTTTAAGGTGAGTCCAAATTACATAAGATTTTATTTTTATATTGTAGGCTCAAAATTATTTAAAAAGATATTACTGATATTTATTGATATTTTATTAATTTTAATTAAAAATTAAATAATTTAAAATAATATAATTTAGGGTTAAATATGTATGATGTCTTTATAAATAATTTAAACTTTGATTTTAGTCCCTATAAATATTTCTTGAAAAATTCTATGTTACAATCACTAAAGTGGCTTCTTTGGTGAAGTCGCTAATTTGGTCTATGAAGAACAAACTCTAACTTAATTAGTGCCACATATAATTATATTGTACATACAAACTTACTATGTATTCTCATATTTATTAATATTACAATTAAATCTCTATCATATTAAAAATGATAAAATTAATAATTTGAAAATCAATAATTTTAATTGTTAAATTGAAAATTAATAATTTTAATTGTTAAATCGAAAATCAATTAAAAGTGTCAAAATCCTTTGGATGAACGAAACTCCATCTTTCTCAACGAAACTTTATCTTTCTCTTTTCTCTTCTGATAATTTCATATTCAACTCAACATCAACTCTTTTCATACTCAATCCGTCATTGTTGGACGAATTCACCTTGTCACCTTTCTGTTCATACACAACTTTATGTCTGTCTGCCATTGTTGAACAAACTGACCTTTGTTATTCTTCCTAACACCGCATTCAATCGGTCATCAAACAAAACACCACCAAAAAGCACAGTTTGCTTGTGTTCGTATTGAGAACATAGTTGCTAAGGTAAATACGAAAATATTTGTTATATTTATTGAAATTAGTTACTAAGAGTTGATGATATCGAATTGGGGTATTACATTTGATTTCAATTTGGGAATTAGGGTTTACGTTTGAATTTGTTTTCTGTATAAGGGTATTTCAATTTGAGAATTATGGGTTATGCCTGAATTTGTTTTCTGTATATGTGTTTTAAATTTAATGATTTCAATTTTCAATTTTCTTAGTTACATTTGATTTTAATTATGAAATTAGGTATTGTGATTGATGTTGAGTTTTGTTGTGTTAAAAGTTGTTTTAATTCAGGTTTACAATGGAAAACTTAGATGATTCATTTGAGGTTGATTCCAATGAAGTTCATTCCACTGATGGTGATACATCTAATGTTGAATTGAATGATGATGAGGGTGACAGTTCAATGATGTAGACAATACTGATAATGACGATGAAGATGATTCGGTTGAATTAGATGCAGTTGTATGCGATAAAGTGGTAAGTATTAATTCCATGAGTTCTAATGAAATCCGTGCTATGGAATTCGATTCTATTAATGAAGCTTATGATTTTTATTATAAGTATGGTAAATGCAAAGGTTTTGCCATTTGGAAAGGTGATATTAGGAGAATAGGGCCTGAAGGTAGTAAAATAACAGTAATGGGGCAGTTTGTATGTAACAAGCATGGTTCAAGAGAGAATAAACACTTATGCAAGTTAGATAGGAAAAGAGATCACAAACGTTTGACCCGTACTAAATGCGCAGCTAGGCTTCGTGTGCACTACAGAGCCAAAAGGGTTATATGTAGTGTCAGTTTTTGAAGAGGCTCATAACCATGAATTAACCCCATCTAGGTTTGTGCACTTACACCCCATTTATCGTCAAACTTCTGAAACGGATAGAGCTCAGATTGATGTTCTTCAATCACATGGAATTATAACTTTTCATATAATGGGGTACATGGTTGCTCAGAAGGGTGGATACGCTGGTGTTGGGTTTACAAAGAAAGATTTGTGCAATTACTTTGATAAAAAAAAGTGTGATATTATTAAAGATGGTGACATTTCCGCTTCTTTAAATTGCCTAAAAGTAAAGTCATCTACTGATCCTATGTTATATGCAAAACATGTTGTCAACGGTGACGGATGACTGAGGTCTCCTTTTTGGGATGATGGGAGCAATAAATTTGACTATTTTTGTTTTGGCGACGTGGGTGTGTTCAACACAACTTACAAGAAGAACATATACAACTACCTATCAGTTATGTGCTTGGCATTTGAATAAGAATGCAGGTGAAAATGTAAATAACTTAGAATTTTTGGAAGGCTTTTAAAAAAACCATGTACTCAAATTTTTCAAATGATCAACTTGAAGAGTTTTGGTCGAGCTAATTAAAGAAAATGAACTTGAAGTAAATCCATGGATAACCAAGACGTGTGAGAACAAGTCACTGTGGGAAACTGCATATCTACGTGATAAGTTTTTTGGATGTATAAGAACTACATCTCAATGTGAAGCAGTTAATGCAATAATCAAGAGTTACGTCAGGAAGAAAGACTGTATTTTTGAATTTATGCACAATTTTGAGGAGGCTCTTAGAGATTACGAAAACAATGAACTGATTGCTGATTTTAAATCAAAGTTTTTAGAACCGGTGTTGACAATTCACCTGCGTTTGATTGACAGCGATACCGCTAAAATTTATACAACCCTGATTTTCAAAGAAGTTAAAGATGAAATTATGAAGGCTGGTGCATTGATCATTAAGAACTTAATAGGATGTGGTGATGTGAAGATTTACACGTTGACAAAATATTGTCAGGAAAAATACGAAAGAGAAGTTGTTTATGATGGTATAACATTTCAATGTTCGTGTAGGTTATTTGATTCTCGTGGGCTTCCATGTTCTCATATTTTTAATGTCATGAAGGAAGAACATGTTGATCATATTCCTAGCAGTATGGTTTTGTCGTGGTAGACAAAGGATGCCAAAATTAAATATTTGAACATGGGTGCTAATGGTATTATTGATTCAAATTCGATTGAGGTTGCTCATTTTGGTGCATATTGTTCTGTTTTTACTACTTTTTGCAAAGAAGCCTAAAAAAGAGTGATGTTTATGGGGAAATAATGGAGGACATCATGAAGTTACAAAAAAAATATTTCAGTACTAACAATCCTATTGGGGCACAAAGGTCAGTTGTAGGTGATCTAATAACGGTGAAGAGTAAAGGTGCTCCGAAGAAAAAAAAGGAATTTGTAGGTGTTTAGGTATTGGCTTGCATTTTTGGTAAATCCCAAGTGTATGTGTGAATGTCATGACTGATGTCATAACATTCTAGTTGAGTTTGTACTGACTCATTAGGTACCTTTGCAGAAAAATATTGTAATTCAAGTACTGATGTTTATAAGTGTGTATCTGAGCATTTTGCAAAATGATCACATTTTGCTAAATCAGTAGACAGGTTTTCTCAGATGTCATAACAGATGTTATGACATCCTGTTCTGAACTAACAGGATTGCAGGATTGGATAAGTCTGAGTTTTTTCAGGAAATAACTCAGTCTTTCCTGAACAGAATCCTGCGTTTTCTGAGGGGTAACCTAGCTCAACCTTAACCTGGTTAATAAAGTCCTGTGACCTGGTCTTTAGGTCAAACGGAATTAACCCTAGGTTTTTGTGGAAACCCTAACTGAAGTTGCAGCTGCTATATATTCAACAGAGCTGCTGTTTTTCAAAGGATCCCATTTTATTGATCAGAAGATCATTTGTAATCTGTATAGATTTGATTATTGTACTCCAAGCAATTATCATTGTGATAAGTGCCTTGGAATAGGTTTCCAATTGTAAGGGTTGTGTAGCACTCAAAGCTTTGAAGCAAGAGTGTTTGAATGTTCCTTGACTAAAGCTGTGAAGCAGAGTCAAGTTAGTTGTGTGCATCACTCAAAGCTGTGAAGCACGAGTGATTGTGTTGCTTGATTAAAAAGCTGTGAAGCTTAATCAAGTGTTTGTTTTTGAAGAGTGTCTTCATCAATTCTTAAGTCAAATTGGTTTATGTATCACTGCTGTGATTGAGGGGGAGTGAGTAGGAACTCAGGTTTAAGTTATACTTAGATTGGAATTGCATTGGGTAGGTCTTAAGTGAAGGAGATAAACTGGTTGGTTTATTCCTGAATTAACATCTCTTATAGTGGATTTCCTCCCTGGCTTGGTAGCCCCCAGAGTAGGTGTTGTTGCACACTGAACTGGGTAAACAATTGACTGTGTTCTTTATTGCTTTTGTATTTACTGTCATATAGTAAGTCAGATACGGTGTCATAACATTGAACGTGACATTGAGTATCTGCAGCCAGAATTTCAATTGGTATTAGAGCAAGCACCCTGCCTGTATTACTGGGTGAGATCTAGGGATATCACTTTCTGGCACTATGGACAAAGAAGGAGTTTTTGGAAATAGACCACCCATTCTGGATGGAACTAATTATGACTACTGGAAACCTCGTATGATTGCCTTCTTAAAATCTCTGGACAAAAAGGCTTGGAGAGCTGCTGACAAAGGATGGATTCATCCCACCATAACTGAGAAAGATGGGACAATCAGTCTGAAGCCTGAGGAAGATTGGAGTAAAGAAGAAGATGAGTTAGCTCTGGGAAATTCAAAAGCTTTAAATGCCTTGTTCAATGGAATTGATAGAAACATTTTCAGACTAGTACATCAATATGAACTGGCCAAGGAAGTTTGGGACACTCTCAAAACTACTCATGAGGGCACTTCCAAAGTAAAAATGTCAAGGCTTCAGATGTTGACCACCAAGTTTGAGAATCTAAAAATGATGGAAGATGAAACCATTCATGAGTTTCACATGAACATCTTGGAGATTGCTAACACCTCAGGAGCACTGGGAGAAAAGATGTCAGAAGAAAAACTGGTGAGGAAGATTCT